CCATGTAACAAATATCTCATGACCTAAGACTTTGAGCCGAAAAAGGCGATCATTCCTGCGTTTGCTGTAGGTCGTTCTTCCGGCTGAGCGAATTCGCTGCATTCAGCCATGAACCATGTGCGAAAACTTGTGTAGTGTCTGGTGTGCTACAAGCGAGCATCCAGCCATCTGGCTTACAAATTGCAGACCTGCAGTATCCTTCAGAAGAAGTCAGGTGGGGGGTGGAAGTGCTGCTGCATCGATTCTTCGCCTCTGGCTCATGCCGGACCCTGAACGCCGACGAGGCTTCTGACTGTTGAGTGACACCGGGGCCTAGAAGTTCATTGTGTCTGGGCAGTGCCGGGTGTTTTGGCATGTGGCATGGGGTTGTGACGCCTTGCCGTAGCTTGATGCTCGCTTCTTCAGCATGAACCATCATGCATGGTTCTGGTGATGTTGCAGCAGCCAGTGTACGGAGCTCTGCACCTTAATCCACTGCCGAGCCCTATGTAAGCCATCAGACAGGCAAAGGCACCACATGCGCTGGACCCATCTGCGCCAGGCTGATCTGTTCTTGGTGCCCGACTACCGGGCTTGTCACATTCATCTCGTGCCGCCCCGAGGAGTGTATCCGAAAAAAGCGAGAAGCAGCGATTTACTGTGGTAAGTGGGCTAGTTCAGCCATTGTCGCTACCACAGCATTAATGTGTAGATTGCCAAATCCGCTGAGTTGTGGACTTCTCAGAACGACAGTGGGAACAGCGTGAGTGCATGCATGAGGGATCGCTGACTGTTTGTGAGTCAGGAGATTGGGTAGGGCGGGGTTTGAGTCTCTACCACCACTTCCGCCTTCATGCCGGGCTTGTTGTGGCCAACTCCCATCTCATTTTGGGTGCCGACATGTTCCAGGCAGTAGCGCTTGATTCCCTAGCCGGGGCTTCCCGCGTTTTCGTCTGTAGCACATTCCCAGCTCTCCCAAGTTCCAACGTCCGGAGAAGCAAAAGTGCATCTCCCAGTTTCAGCAGGAAGAGAAATGTCCTCTTGTCAGGCCGCGGTTGAGGATTGGGGCTTGAGGTCTTCGGCCGTGTTCATGCCGTCACATGGAAAGCCTGGGACTCGGAAAGCCTCAGCTCAGGCCCCGAATTTCCAGCACAAGGGCTTGACACTACTGGAAGGTGCTTGCCACAAGCTGGTGGCTTTGTGGTTTCGCAAATTGGGTGGTAGTCAGTGGCACTCTTCACAGGGATTTCCAGCTCATGCACGGTTTTGAGACGTCCTAGCGGAAGGATTTTTCTACCTACCAAGTGGTGTTTGGCCCTTCTTGGATCACTTCGTCACTCAATGAAACTCCTCCTTGTAGCAGCCCTGTGATAGCTTCACGAAGCAGTGTTTGGGTTCTCTTCGTCCGGGGCACCACGGTTGTGGCTTCAACCTGCAAGCCTCACGTGAAACCGATCTACTTCTCCGCAGAAACCAGTCAGAAGCTTGGACCGACTGAAGAGCCATCGATTTCTCCGTGTCCTTGATGCAGGTGACGATTACCACTCACAGGTGATCCGAAACCACAAGGACAAGTGACCTCTTGGTCTTCAGTTTGGACCCTTGCGCACTCGTTTGATGGCGCGATGCGAGCACCAGCCGCGATTCACCCAGTTTGCTTCAAGCACATGCGTTTCAAGCATGCGCGATTCAAGCACACGCCATTCAAGCATGCGCGATTCGAATCGATCACGTGTGATTCATAAGGGCTCGGGGTGTTTTGGGATGCACGGTTTTGCAGCGTTTCTGGCTGGTTTAGAGTCTTGCCCTTATCTGGGGTCTTGTCTTGGGAGTTGGTGTAGGTTGTTTTCAGGTTCCCCATACTGCTGACAAGGTTCTGATGTTTTGGATTCGTTTGACCCAGTACCCAGAACGTGGCCACACTCGCAGTGCTCGTAGGCCGTGGAGGTCGCTTCCGGGTAGGATTTTGGCCTTGGCCAGGGCGTTCAGCACCCCAAAGCTTGACAGCCGAAACGCCTTAGGACCCAGCTTCGATCCCAAAACTGCCAGAGCTTGGAAAGCCCTGAGCTCCAAGCTCGCGTCAGGGACGTCGGGCCGCCCCCTGCTGGGGCCGCTCGGGGTGGGGGTTTAGGACAAGACCCAGGGGGTGGGGCCCAAACCGAAGACCAGACTTGAGGCGATCAGCCCAAAAGTAGCAATCATCAAAACCCTAAACCGAGAACTGAATGTTCTACTCTCCTTGAGATTTTTCCACTGCGAGGTACCGGCGTCCGGAGGAAGCCGAAAGCAGCTTTCTGGCTGCTCTGGCATGAGTTGGGGTGCAAGGATATCGCGTGACAAGGGAACCGTCGAAGTTCCTCCCCTGAAGCCGCGAAGCCAGCGAAGCCTCAGATCGGAGAGCCCCCTTGCTGCACCTGGATGCCTTCAGGGGCTGATCCAGACCTTGCCGTACTTTGTCCTTGTCTTACTCGTGCCAGGGCAGGGCGATGCCTTTGCAAGTTTGTGGGTTTAACTCTCTGGAGGCACCAAGGGTCGTGGGATTCGATGTTTGTCATCACGAGGGTTGAGCCCAAAGCAAAATTACCGCTGCTGACAATTCCAAAACCCGTAAGCCGTAAGCACGACGGAAGCTGGGGAACGTTTGCGGTTGATTCTTAGTAATCTTCGCATCAACGTAGATTCAGCCCTCATCCTTGCACCCAAGCCGGGGCCAGAAACGTTTCCAGCACCCAGGATCGCAAGAAGGGCATGGACCATATCTTCATCTTCTCGGACCGACAGCCTTTCACAGCCTTGCCAAGCTCCAATGTCGAAAGTCTTGATCAGTGGGTCCTGAGATCTTATGTGTGTTCTGGTACAGGGTGGGGATTCTCCGGGATGTGCAGCATGGAGTCCGAAGTACACGAGCTGTGCTGCCGAGCAGCCCCCCCAACAGTACCCACAGTACTGTCACTGTAGCAATGAGGCAGCCCGGTCATGTGCTTGTGGCTTGATAGGTGTGTGTCACCTGGTGATTGTTTGCAAGTGCGGGGCCAGGCTTCTTTTCGGTGGTAAGCTTCGTCGTTAAGTCCTCAGAGGGGCCACAGCTCCGAAATCCCCACAATTCGCAGGATCAAGGCTTCATCGTGAACTTCACTCACACCTTCCCCTCCTGGCGGGCGGCAACCTCGGATCCGAAAGCCGGGAGGCAGACTTTTCAGATCTCGGAAGTGCTCGGCTTCCCGAGGGTGTGGACTCGAGGTTTCGTCCCGCTTGAAAGGAACCAGGCGAAGTTATTCACATTGGTTCTGGTGAGCTCCGATGTGGCAGATCGCCCGTGGTACCTGATGGCGGGGGTTGAGTTTTTGGGATGAAGCTGGGCAGTCCAAGTTTGCGTTGTCGCAGACAGTGTTTGGGTTCGTTGCTGTGGTGCGATTGTTGCAACAAGCTTTGTTCCAGCTCTGTGTAGTCAAGTCTGTGAGCACTGACTAACACTGACCTGAATCGATCACGGATGAGCTTCTTCATGAGACATTGAGGACCACATCCCGCATTCCATCTTTCTCACGACAGAGGTGCGACCCAGGGTCAGGGTATCAGCTTCATGCAGGTCCAAAGCCCCAAACGTAGAGAGAGCAGACAGAGTCGGAGAGGAGCGAATTAAGGCACGGACCGGGGGCATCCGTCGGGATGTGAACTCTCCTCAAGTTGCAGGCCGATTGGTAGCATTGGATGGGCCAGACACGCATGAGCTCGGGGGTTGGGTTCGCATCTGCTCTACTATACTCGTTCCTTACAAGAGGGCATCTACTCAGCTACTCCCTCGTGAGCATCGCCTGTATCGTTTTCGCTTCAAGATTTCTAGCTTTGCTCTGGGGTTGCTCCAATGGCGTTTCCGCAAGAGCTTCTTCGTCCGGGTGTTGGATTCTCCTAGTAGTCAGCCAAGCACCCCCATACTTTCCGGCAAGAAGCACCCCCCCATACTTCCTGGCAAGGCCTTCACCCCGGGCTGCGGTCCAGGATGCTTCTCACCCTGGAAGGACGGGAAACGTGCTACAACAGAAGAGGGATATCGGGTTCAGGGTGAATATGGCCGAGAACCGATGCCCCGCGTCCCGCAAGAGACCACATCCCCTTTTGGAGCCTTGCTATCCTCTCGGGCTTTCAATCCGGGTTTGTGCAGTGAGAAGCAGCAACACGCAAAGGGCCCACCACGGTGTGCTTTTCAACTCCAGCCTCCATCCTGGCGCCTTGTCAGCTTTCGCCCCGAGGATGCCGTCATACCAGGCCTGGCTTTCTCCATGTCTCCTTCTGTTGAGAGGCTTGCGGCACTCAAGCCTCACGATGACACCATAGAGTGTGGGAGATTGACAGTTGTCGGTGATGCTGTAGCTATGCCTTCAGGGGTTTGGTTGCGTCTGCGCCCTGTCGTTTCGGATCCCATGATTGGCTTCGAGATAGCTTTGGATTTGGGAGGGCTGGGGCATCGAGGGCTCTTGTTCAAGACGCACTGTTGAGCTTCTGTGCCATTTTGGGATGCTTGGTTGCTGACCCTGCCCCCCTGCACCTTCGAGCCTGGCCTTCGAGCTGTCGTGTCCCTGGCAAGATTGGCTTCAGAAGTTAAGAACAGACGCGTGACCACGCAGGGTGTTTTGGATAAGGAGGAAAGTCCTGCAACACAACACCGACTTCGAAACCTGCACTCCGTAATCACCAAGCTTCAACACAACTCGCATAGCCAGAATCTCGAAGTTTAATGGAGGCCCTGGAGTTTTTGCCAAGATGGTGCATGTATGCGCAGAGTTGGGCTTTGGCCAAGAGAAGCGCAGCATGACCAGCCATGTTCGATTCCGATAGCTTGAAGATTTTTCTTTGAAGCACCTATATGTCACCGGGGCCCAAGTGCGAAGACAGAAGGGCTGCAGTACTGGAGGTATCGGAGGAGAAGTGAGTGGGAGTTTGGGGCAAAGCGGCCTGCACAAAAATGGAAAACGAATTGAGTCTGTTGTGCAACCCTGACAGGCCACATTGACCTTGATCGGATGGAGCGCATTCGAAGCTTCAACCAGCCCTCCAGCAACAGAAGCCTCTTGGACACCATGGAAGCAACGACGGGGCTTCCACTATCAAAGTGAGGATGGAAGTCTCTCACCAGAAGCATCCTTTTACACTTCTATTCTCCAGTGTCCGAAGTAGGCCTTTGCAGTCGGCTGTGTGTCAGAGGGCTGTTCCGAGCCCAAGTCGCGACGGGACCTTTGCCAGATTTAGTAAAGCCTTTCTTAGCCAAGGCTGTTTCCAAACCCAGGTCTGCTTTTCAACTTCCATGGCCGCCTTCCGGTGAACCACGACTACTATGAGCCCGGCCGCCCAGGGGCCTTCAAGCGATCCGCTATCTGAGCCTCCTGAGACCTGAACCCGAACATCATTCTTTTGAGCCGGCCTTATGGGCTTATGTTCACGCAACCGAATCTGTTGGCTGTGGCTCGTGTACAATTGCTGGTGCTCGACTTTGAAAGTCATTCCAAGAAGGTAGGGAGACGCAGCCCCAAACCCGGAAAGTACCCCTACACTCTTCATCGTGCTGTGAAAATAATATGCTCTTCGCAAGGCGCCTTTTGACCCAAACGTTTCTTGAGATCTGCATGGCCCCCTTTCGATGTAATTTCATGGGGTGAATCAAATATGACAATTAAGAACAGAGGCCCTAATGGCAACAGTAAGAATACTTGCAGAGCCTTAAATCATGCACACGAAAGCTTCTACACCGTGTACGTTACATCTGCTTACCGTGTTCTGCTGATATGATGCTTGATGCTTGCAAATTCACGTTTACGGTGCTTGTTTTTCTTTTTCGTTAGTCCACCAGGAAGGTCGGGGTTCGTCGAGCGCTTCTCCAGTTCGCGGAGCTGCCGGATGTGAGCGCTCAAAGCTGAGTGCGGGAGAGGTGCTTCAAAATGAGAGATCAAGTCTCCCAGCACTGCCCACCCCGTGGTCTTACATTGCAACAGGCTCACAAAGATGGCATAGTATAGCATTGTTGTAGCCAGGATGTGGTTTTAAGTGGGCCGTGGCCATGGGTTTGAGCTTGGGATGTCGGCTCGGTGTCGCCTTGGGTCTCTCTGTCGTTGCAGGTTTGACAGCTTTGATGAGATAAGATGAGTGAGAGAAAGCTCCCGTCGAGGTGGGTGGCTTCATCGAGGAGTACTTTGAAGTTATGGGCCGGACACCGAGTTTGGACTCTTCCCTTGTGCCTGAAGCTCGTTTGCCGATGATGCAGACCTTTGCTAGCTGCCCGCACATACCCCTAAGTTCCAGCCGTTTCTGTGTGCGCCGTTTGAAAGTCAGCCTGTATGATCAATACGAAGCTGAGGGAGTAGAGCAGCAATGTTCCGTGCAATCAGCTCAGCGCTTTCCGACTTTGAGGTAGCACGTCAAGGATAGTCTTGCAAGGCCCAAACTCGAGCTCTTCAATTTCAGACTTCAGAGACTTAGGCAAAAGCCATTTCTGCCTTGTACCGGAGGGCACATCCTCCTGGACGCCACCAGCCGAAGTCTGGGGTTGGTCAGTGGGGTCGTTGCGGGTTTGCGGATTAGGCTTCAGGGATATTGGCTCTTCAATGCAACGTTGAAGACGTCGAAACTTGATGACAAGCCTGAGGCGAAGAAGTTTCAAAGGCAGAAGCCGACTTCGAAGTCATTAGAATCATTAGAATTGAATGCAGCGTCTAGCACGTTGGGTTTGGAGCTTTCCGGGCATCATTCTCGCCAGTGCGAGTAGAACTTGGGCTCAAGCTCTTGCCTGAAGGATACGCGAAGAGGTTAAGCAACATCTAAAGCTGCGAGCTTCGGTCAGGGGTGTTAGGCAAGATGAGTCTCCTCTGTGATCTTTGGAGTCTAGCCACGTTTCGATTTTCGACTTGGGGCTTGCTTAGGAACCACCTCTACGAAAGCTTCTTCGCTGGCTGCATCCCACTGATTCTTTCGGATCGCTATGTCCTGCCCTTCCAGGAGATGGGGTTTGGGTTCGGCGCAGTGGCTCGTGGGAATCAGTCCGATTCAAGATAACCGCCACAGTGCTCTGAACTGAGTAGGAACATCGAGAGACTCGATCAAAGTATGACTTGCTGTGTTACGGTATTGACCTGCTATTGGAACCTGTGTGCTCGAGTAAGATATCCTAGCTGTATTGCATAGCATGCGTTTGGCAGCTGGTTTGCCAATGTGCGGTTCCAGTCGTCCGAGCTATCTCGTGATCCCGCTGCTTCCTTCCGAATCGTAGTCATGACTCTTGCCGGGGTAAGCGTCGATCACAAAGTGCAGGATCTCATCGACTGGCCCTCCATCAGCATACGCTGGCCGCAGGACGCGTGGTGTCGAGTTCTCATGGGGTCCCTGTGAGTTCCTTCAGCCTCATGCACAAACTCTCAACACTCAAGACTCAAGCCCCCAGGGACTGTGCCAACAGTCATGTTCGCAGGAAGCAGTTTCTCTGGAGATGTACATGTACATCAAGGCCAGGAAGGGTTGGAACGTGCGGTTCTGTGGTTCGTGTTTTGCTGGATTGGAGGGGTGTACAGATGTTTGCGACTTCCCACATAAAGTTAAGTAGACCTGACATGGTTGTATCGGGATGAACCGGAGAGAAACTCCGAACTGCTGCCACAAGCTGCCACAGGACCTCGAATGCACAGTTGGCATTTGGCAAAATCAAGTTTGAGGAAGGCGATAATGGATATTTCCTGGGTGTATTACTTGCACAGTCTCAATCGTCACGCTGTCAGCTTACGGGGCGATAAAGCTTAGCCGAAGCAAACGCTGGTTGTAACGTCCTTTTGCGTCAGGACCTCGTCGGCAAGCGTCGCCCACTAGTGGAAGCCATCAAGCCATTCTCTGAGCAGGGTGGGTCTGGCCAACTGCTCACGTAGGGGCTCATTGGTGCGAGATGGCAATCTACCTTTTGTCTGAGGCAGCGGGTGGACGAACATGCCTGTTGGTTTGACTTCTATCGCTTTGACCGGGACTGCTCGCCCGGGACCCGGTGCCGAACTTCGGAGTTCTTACGGTGTGTGCAGTGTCGACGGTTTGCCGGATCTTCGCCCTGATGCTGGAGGTCTGGATTCCAGTGAGTTCTCAAAGAAACTTCCGGTTCCAGGATGGCAGCAAGGCAATCACATCCTGAGGCCATATCGCGGCGTGGTTCACGACCTGGAGCGGCGCCATCAGAACATGCCGAAGTGCCTTGATAGTTTCGATTCTGTTTGATTCAATCAGGTTTGCAGACTTCCGGCCATGGCCTGTTCCATGCGTTTCTTCTCGATAATCGGAGCTAATGTCGCAGAACGAGACCATGGGCGGCGAAATGCCGAAATCTTTGGAAGTCTTTTGCTAGCTTGCTTTGGCAACTTGAGCTGGGCTTCTGCACTTGCAGCAGATCGATGTGCAGGTGGTTCAGGCGCAGTGGTCACCTGGGTCGGACTTCTTGTCGGACTCGCCTTTAGTTGGCTTTTGTTCATAAAGTGTAGCACACTCTGGCTGCTGGCTTGGGACATCCATCATTCGACACTTTTTGTCTTTTTACCTTTGCTTCGGCGACGAATGACATGCCAACCTGGTTCTTCTCACCTTTGGAGTGTTTCGTCGGAAGGTACCTACATCCACACCACTGGATGCTTTAGACATTGCCTCTACTGCCTCTACCAGGACGGGCAGACTTGAGCTTCCCAACTTGGGGATCCCAGGGTTGAGGCTTGCCCGGGTCACCCAGATCTGCGGTCGTACGTGTTGTTTTGGATACAGGAGCGAGTCAAGATAGGAAGATACATGCTGAATGTAGTGTTTTTTGCAAGGCTTCGGGACAGTTGCACGAACGAGTAGTGTAGAAGTGGCGCTACTAAGGGGGCAACAGGCAGAATAGTCTTTTCGCCTAGTGAATTCGTCCATTAGAAGATTTGAATTGCCCCGAACTACTTTGCGTGGACATGAGCATACTATCTTTTGTCAGGCTTTGTACCAGTACTAGTGCTGACGCTTATTTCTGCTGCAAGGCAAAAAAAGTCCTCACTTTTGCGCACAAAGTGGCTGCGTATCGTTTTTGCAGTGCTTATGGACTCGAAGCACATCATTGTTCGCACTGATGTACGTTTGGCATGTTGTTGCGGCCGGAGAAATACAAATCCAGCCTGACAAGCCCTTTATCGGGCACCTCAGCCCTTAGTGAATACGTCTGTTCAGGGATTGCTTTCCGAACGACTCCGACACCTCCCACTCGGGCGGCCAACAAGGCTGGAGGGATGAAGAGGGCCGCACAATGCAAGTCCCATTGTAGACATGTTTCGGTTGTCGCAGTTTTTCGCAGCTGAAGACAAGCGCTATATTGCAAAGCGCCAGCTGCCGAAGCTCAGCGAGAGTTTGTGTGCACCTCACGCAGCACTGCGACCGGAGGACTTCACGAGCAGCCGAAGAGCAAAGCCAGCGGGCCAACGCGCCCAGGCGATCGGTGGATGCCAGAGTCTGCGCTGTGGCAAGGTCCGGAGCAAAGAGACTCCGGAAGCGGTGGATTTCCGAGGCGGTGTAAAAGAGGGTTCAGCCACGGAGGAGGGCATTCTGCATTTCTTCCAGGCCTGCAGGACTGTGGCTCCACACGGTTTTGACCTCTCTGCCCCTGAATATGGGACTATGTCTAGTCCTCGGTGGAACGCCTCCGACCCAGCAAAGTCGAGTTGCTCAAGAGCCTTTGGGATGAGAGTTTTCAGTGCAGGAAGGCTGATGAGACGTTTGCAGGCTGGCCATCATGCTTTATGCTTTCTGCATGCTTTTGAAGATCGTTGATCATGTGCAGGCACATTTTACAGGGCTCACAGCGTGGGAGTGAAACCAACAGCCCTATCCCACAGAAGCTCCACCTCAAAAATGGACGGAACCCGGAAAGGTTGCGACTGCATCAGCTGCAGCATATACGATTTGCCGAGCCCTACCACCGGAACCTCCTGCCCCTCTCCAGCGGAGCAGTTCAAGCATCAGCACGTGCCAATTTCAGCTGCTCTCGAACTATTCAGATCCTTTTCCTGGGCAATCACCACAAAAGCTGCGCGACTCCTGCAAAATCCAACGCTTCGGCACACTTGACAGTTTGACAGCCGCTGGCACAGATCCCCACTCTCGCACAGACTCAGCCCCTGAACCCCCAACTAGCACAGACTTACTTCTTTCGAACAAGCTGTTAGCAAGCGGTGGTGGCCAAGCCTGGCCATGCGACTGTGGCAGCTCATCGTGCTCACAGGCAGGGCTCGTTGGAGCTTGGACCGCGACCATGAGGTACACAGGATCGGAACCAGAGACAAGTCCTGGAGACTACAAACTTGTCGGAGTACTTGTAATTTGTCTTCCCCACCACTGGTGCCCGGATGAGTGAGTTGGCCATGAATCGTGCGACCTCAACGTGCCACAGCTGTTGCTTGGATTTTTGTCTGCAAGTCGAAATGCTAGCTCGGCAACTCGAGCCAAGCATACTGCAATTCGTTTCACCCGCTTCAGGACCACAGGTTGCATGGACGGATCCTGCAGATACTTGGCCGCATTCATGTCATCTGATCCTTGGTGTCCCAATTCTAAGACCGAGCTCGCGACTGCGGGAATTGGGTCCCCTGCTTCCCCAGCCGTGCTGGCCCGGATTGAATCCTTTGTGCTTTCGTTCCGTCATTGTTGTGGCTGCTTGTGCCTACCGATGATGGCGTCATAGTATTCTCTTCATTGGACTTCTTCAGGAAGCGTTTGGTGATGCAAGGGGCCAGCATGCCATGCAGCCTACCACCTACCTCTACCTACGATGGCTCGTGTGTGAGGTGCTGCTCAGAACCTACCCCAGTCCTGAAAACCTTCAGACTTGCGCTTACTTGCACAGGGCTGCCGCATGGCATGTTATATGCTCCTGATATCAGAACCTGAGCTCCAGCCGTCCCCGAAAAGCGGCCCAAGACCGTACAATTTTGATTCCTGTAAAGCTTTGGGGACGTCGAAGGAAGAGTTGGACACCGCGGAGACATGCCCGAGCCGGCCCCAGACAACGTTCCTTTCCGGGATCGTGAAAGCTCTTGAGGACCTCAGCAGTAGGGCAATGCTATGCAATTTTGCAGAGGGAGATTGGCTCGACTCGCTCTTCAGAAGGGTGTACTGTAGTAGTAAAGTAGTTCAGTAGCAATGCAGTACTTGGTAGCAGTACAGTAGTTGTGCAGTCGTACGGGAGGGTTTAGGGGTTTGAGGGGCCCCAATTCAAAAGCTCGAAACCAAACCTCGATCACTCCATTTTGAAGACTTGTTCCTTCAACTTGTCCCGCCTCAATCGACCAAGTCTCAGTTTTGGTAAAGTAGTACAGTAGTAGTACAATGCCAGTACAGTAGTGGCACAGTAGCATCAGTAGCATTACGGTAGTAGTGCAGTAGTTAGTACGGCAACAGTACTCTAGTACAGTAATAGACAATTACCAGGACAATAGCCGTAACTACAGGAGTAGTGCAGTAGTGGTACAGTAGTACTACAGTAGTAGACATCAGTAGCACAGTAGTGGTATGGTACGGTGGTTTAGTACAGTAGTACAGTACGCTAAGGGTTTAGGACGTTTAGGAGTACCCAGTCAGCCTCTTAGGGGCCCCAAGACCTCGAAACCAAACCCCGATCACTCCAAGATAACTACCAACGCTGAAAAGCATTCGTTTTGAAGATTTCTTCCTTCATCCTACGCTCCCCCGCCCACAAGCGACCAGCGTCCTGCTGCAATGAGTTTTCTCCGGTCTCTTGTTCTCATCTACAGTACTCAATTAACGGTTTTAAGGTTTAAAACTAGCAGAAAGGACAAAGCAGAACAACAACAATCTGCTGGGCCAAAGACAGCAACCAATCATAGATAACGGTCAAATATATTTTACAAAATTCAAAAGTTGAATCAGCCACAGGAAAAACACTTTGAAGGGGTCACCTAAACGGCTAAGGTTTGCCGAGAACGCCTTGCCGAGGTCCTGTCTGGCCAA